CTTTCGACCATTTTTGTGATTCAGTTTCTGTTTCGTGAATAAATACGCGCCCTGTGGACCCTTTGCTTGAGCTCTCTTCGCTACGCCTCTTTCTGTTTTTTCACGTCACACCGGCAAGGTTTCGTTCAATAGATGTCAAGTGTAATGAGGAATGACGGAGAAGCAGAGTCGTTGGGTGGGATGATAAAGATAGAGGGGGAGAGGGAGAGAAATGCTTTATTTTGAAGGTAAATACTAAACATTTTCAGCAAAAAATGGCTCCATTCACGGGAAGCAAGGGAAAAGGTAAGGTAAAGAGTCATAGAATATTCACAGTCTAAAAGGTTTGCATGATGTCCATGCCTATTATGGAGACAGATTGGACTTTAACTTCTGAATTTCCATGAGGTAGCGTTCTAGGAATGGTGGTACAGAGTACTGATATACCGCTGTGCTGCAAGACATATGACGGAAGCTTCGGCGCATAGTTCGGGAAGACTTCGCAGCCATTAGTCCAGAGTGGAGAGGATGAGCAACCTCACTAACATTTGCGATCAGTCAATTGCTTGACCGTTTTAAAGTGACGCTGTGTTATAATATCAGCTAAAAAAACATAGGAAATACCGGCAGTTGAAGACAACATTTGAAGGATATGTTTAAAAATGACCAAGTTTGTAAGGCGGGAAAAATAACTGGGTAGGGGAGAATGCGGGCGTCTCTAAATTGCGGTGTGCGATATGAACGCAAACGGCGGACAAAATATGAAGTTTACGGATTTTCCTAACGAGGCCGTCATTATGAAGAGTAAATGAGAGGTAAGATGCCAGAGTAACAGAGGAAGGGGGGATAAGCGTCTAGACAGATTGGCAGTTGTACTTAAACCCAGTTGCGTGACGTGATCATTCCACTTGGACCACAGTCGGCATACACTTTGTCTTCTGGGACTGCAGTTAGAATCAGTCGCCAAAACCTTCAACAGTTTTTCTTCACTCGTTGATAAACGTTCACCGGCCGCTAAGGGAACTCTCACTCATCCCACTCTGCCTTGGAACTCATTTCAAGGGCCCTGACAGCAGCTGCACAGTAGCTTTTAGTCTTTGGCAGATAGTATTACCGGCAAAGACAAGGGAGACTGGAGTGGTCAGTGCTACCCAATCCCAAGTGGTGCACCACCCGAGGCTCGAATTCGCCTTCCAACGTTCTAACCACCGAATCATGAGCTCGCTGACTTGCAGGTTTAGGTCGGGGGATATTGACACGCCTTGATGAACGTTCACTATCTGCCCAGACTACTAGACCTTGCGTGGCTGCTGTCAGACGCCCGAGAAATGA